CAACCATGGCACACAACTTTTTGAAACACGCTCGAGTCATCCTAATTTGCGAGATGGACATAGTGTCACTCTCATAAATATACCTATGCATTATTGAGGATCGGTCCACATTTGAAGAATAGTATTCAATTTGTTGTTCATCCCTTTGTCTTTTAACCATAGTCATCCAAAGGGAGACAACATTGAATAGAACAACATGGACAACTATCTTAAACCATTMCAATGACTCTCGTCTCCTTTGCCTATGTAAACGTCTTCTTAAACTAATTAAGGCGATCCATTTCCTGTCCAATTTCCCAAATTGTTAAACATATACTCTTGATGCTAAATTGTTAAACATATACTCTCTTGTGACTGCAATTTAAAGTAACTATTGGATGGTATAGCTGATATATTAACAATTTAAAGAAAGTAAAGATATATTAACATAAACTTTAACATAAGGGTCTCTTATATATCAAATTTAGATGTTGTGAGCATGAAAAACATATAAAAACACCCCTTCATCTGGTGCAAACAGGGGAAAAGAAATGCAAGTTAACAGCATCAGCACAACAACAACTACCCTTTTGTAAAGAATCATAAGCTAAAATTAATTGCTTCACCATTGCAATGAGCGATGAGATTTAGTTTGGTTGACAAAAGTTCAAGGTAAAATTACTTGCTTTATTTATATTACCATTACAAATTATTCATATTCTTTCCCTCTAGTGTAGAGTGTTTTAGACATTTGACTAAAATAATCAAATACTTCCACAATTATGTCAAACATTGTAATAGTTTGGGACACAAGAACTACAATCTACTTCATGTTACATATTATGTCAACTCTTCAAGCATCTTGTTTTGAAGTGAAGAATTTTACATTTTTCCCTTTACGTTCATTTTGACAACATGCAATCTCTAGGATGACTTTAACCTTGCAAACTTTACAACCTGTCCTATCAACTCTTAATTGGCAAGGAAGTGCTTAAATTTTATTATTAGGCACAATAGCAGAAGCATCCCCTGTTTTTTTACTAGTATATCTCAACAAAAAGTTCATCAATTACCTAATAAGCTAGACTAATATCTATTACATCCTATCCTCCGATTGTCATCCAAATTAACAAGCTAAAGTCAAGGCTGGGATTTCAATTAGTCAATAACTTGAAAGAAGGTAACTGCTTGTGAACCAAAGAATAGGCCATCAACTATTAGGCACCACAGAGAAGATGCAACTGACATCGTGTGAGAATCTAAGCATTTATATGATAGATACTTGTGTTGAGGTATGCAAGTGAAAACCATGAAATTGAATTATCACTTTTTTTTTCTAGTTTGCCCTATGATCATTGTCAAATGTTCTTTCCCCTTTTTTGTTTTTGTCATGGATTGCAAATTCCACCACCCCAGCACCAGCAGATGCCTTATTCGACCACCTGACAAACAGTCCCTTTTACTGTGAATGCATGTTTTTACCATTCAATTATCAAAAATAGAAGTAGAAGAGATTATGTGAGTTTATTTTAACCCAGAAGGAAAAGCCCAAGTTCTATGGAGTCATATACTCGATATAGCCATCAAAAGATCATATTTTCTGTTTCCCAATGACTTGTTGATTTGATTTCATAACTTTTTATGTTTCCTGTTGATTTTGTTGTTACTTTGACCTAAATTTTGTTAGTAGGTCTCCTAGATAGAAATGTTGTATACAGAGTGTAGAAGAAGTGGAGACAGTGTTGTCCCTTTTTGTGTTTCTCCTCTTTTATTCTTATATGCATTTACAGCTTGCTGTCAATACATTATTCTGGTGTCAATACATTGTGATGCGTTATGTGGACACGAGAGGACATATAATCGAGCGCTTTCTAGGTATTGAGCATGTCCCGGATGCTACATCTAGGTTGGTGAGTTGTAATTGATTAAGCATCGTATACTATAAAGATTGTAATGTAATAACGAGAAGATTGGAAAGGGAAGTCTTATTACCTGTTCAAGCGGGACGAAGAGGTGAAGAGGATGAGCACCGGTTCAAGCGGGACGAAGAGCAGAGAGGAGGAGAGAACTGGCGAGAGCAGTGGGGAGTTGGAGGTTATCTCCGGCGTGAGCAGTGGGGAGTTGGAGGAGACCGACGAGAGCAATGGGGAAAGCGACGAGAGGTGGGGAGTTGCGGAGACCGGCGAGAGCATGGGGAAAGTGACGAGAAGGTTAGGGCATGAAGATTAGCATGGAAGAGGAGATGTCATCGGATTTGGATTTCAAAATCCAACCCATTTACTATGGATTTCAAAATCTCTTGTTTACGGGATTTTAAAAAGTACACGGGATTTTAAATCCAGCCCATTTAGCAAACCAAACATGGGAATGAAATGGATTTTAAATCCAAATCCTCCCAAATCCATTCCATTCCGCCAAACCAAACGCATCATTAGGGTATTTAGTCTTTTTGATTTTTTTTCTTTTTGGTTTATTAAATATCTTTTTTGGTATTTTAGTCTTTTTAATTTAATCAAACTATATATTTTTTGATAGAATAAATAATACATAAAATAATTATATTACTTTGTTATTAT